TCAAAGAAGACATGACTTGTGCAATGCCAAAATAAAAGCATCGACAGGCAGTAGGATATTTAGGAGCTAACCTGTTAATAAATATGTATAATGTAATATATAGATAGAGTAATCTCTATATAGAAAATGAACGTGGATGTGTATTTATACATCCAAAAAAGAAAACGTTTGAAAAGAATACAAATTTAGTAATGTTTTAATCTGCTGATGACAAAATCGATATATGTGCCAATGTAAACTATATTCAAAGATCTAATTACAACATTGGTAAGATAACCTTTACTAATAAGTTTGTTTAAAGGTTCAATGAGTTTACACGGATTACATAGTAATTTCCGCGCTTTAAGTACAATATTACCGTAAAATTTAGGATGTGAAATACCGTTTTTAATCAGTTTTCTACAGGTACAGCCAAATTTACTTATCAAATCTTTGTATCTATGAAAGAATTTAGTAAAAGTTTTAAGCAATTTATGGTAACGAAATCCCTGACTTAATAATTTACCAGTGATGCATTGATTACGTTCGTTAACATCTATGACACCACTACACAAACGGGCATAACGAACGAGTTGGGATATATAAATACCGTATAATGGAGCCAAAGGAACATCGCCGTCTAAAAAAGGAAAATTAACAATAGGGAATGAAAAATCGTCTCTTTTGTCGTAAATTTTAGTATGGAGTTTCTCTTTAAAAATTGAAATGCCTAAATCTGCTATTAAAGGGGCGCAGTTAGTGCCCATAGGAATACCTACTACCTGTCGATACATTTTATAGCCGAAACGTACATATATGTTGTCCAGGAGAAAATTTAAAGCTTCAATCATATCTTCACATTTCCAGTAAGTGTATATAGCATACTTTCCTTTTTCGTTACAGAAAAAAGGCTTTAAACGAGTTACAGCAAATAAATTTGCAATGAGATTTTTCAAAAGACCTTTTAATTAAATATGAAAACTTTTTCTTGATAAGATTGTGTGGAAGTGAAGTGTACAGGCTAGAAAAATCATAACTGTCAACAGAATTAAAATGACCATCAACAGCACGTATTTTATCTAAAACCTCTAATGAATTTTTAACACTCCAAAAATAATTAATACCATTATTTTCATAAGCTTTATTACAAAAGTTAATAACAAGTTCTTTGATAGTAGTAAGGGATGTAGTTAGAAGCACTGACAGATTAGTAGTAGAACACTTACTAGATGCGGAGATGAAACGAAATTTAAATGGTTGTTTGTGTAATTTAAGTAACCAGTACATAGTCGGGACTTTCAAATGTTCGGAAGAGGCTATAAGCTGGGTAGTGGCAGTGATATGCTTGTTTACAATTTGACTCTCTGTGGAGCGTACGGACCTGAATGTAGACGAATTGATAATTTCGTTTTGGAGAACTGCCGTGTAGTATATGCGTCACACCACCACTACATTATTGTCTGTTTTGTCTGTCGGTACGAACACAAACCGCTTTGCGAGTACTTGGAGTTTATTTTTTATTTTAGAAATGGGTACATCATGGACCCTATTATTAATTTCAGAATTGTTTTCAAAATGAGATATACGAATATCAACAGTATTCATAATTTTATTCAAATAACTGTCTAGAGATTTTTTATCAGATTTTTCACGTTTACACCAATTTTTACAGTAAGCAGACAAAGCGTCTTAAATGACCTGACGACACTGTTTCCAATCTATTATAGATGGAGGACGATATTTAGGTCTTTTCTTAAGAAAAGTCTTGACCTCCTGGCCTTCGACGATGTTGAGGTCTCCTGTAAAGAGATGACCATAGGGAACACATTTAAAACTAGATGTTTCATTGTCTCAAGTGGAAGGAGCATTGTTTTCTATATTGACGTCTGCTGTAACTGACGTATAATTAAAAATCAAACTTCTGCTGTTTTTTTTTATAAGAATACGAAATAATAGGTGGTTCTGTATTATCAAAATATGGAGGTATTTGACTATAGATGGTAGGGTCATTGAATATACTAGATAAGTTAATAAAATCATTACCTCTATTTATATATTTCAATTTTAAGAAAATACCGTTTATGATTTTCAGGTTTATCGATACTATGAAACAGCCTGTGATAACAAAAGGCTGTAATAATACGAGTGTTTTCATACAACGGGCTAAAAACTGAAATTTTATCACACCTCTGAAAAATAGCATATAATTTACTTATTGGTATATGACCCAGTTTACATAATACTTGATGTCTACCATAATTTTTTAATATAGATAGCAGAGCAGCAAGTGTATAATTAATACGATGTTTAATACGTTGATTACGGTTTTTGCGTTTACCATGAGACCTATTATTTCTTAGTCGTTTATCGACAATATTAATGACATCGATAGAAGTTTTAGATATGTTCCCCTGTCCCAATATTTTGTCATTGAGACCGAGAGGATAAGCTGTTTGAAGTCTTTTTATCCAAAATAGTTCGCAAACTTCATGAGATTTTTTGTTTGTGTGATTGTCCTGGTTGTTTCTGAACGGTTTCAAGTGGTTGGAATTTTATAAATTTTAGATTATGATTATGCTTATCTAAATGTTGGTATATCAAACTTTTGAATTTTTTAGGTCTTCGAAAGCGGTAAAGGTGCTCTCGATTTCTTCTGTAATATTCTCGTCCCGTCTGTCCCATATATTGAATACTACACTTAGGCTGGGTTCAAGTTACCACATATATAATGTTTTGAGTTTTTCAGGTAATGTCACAGGAAAAGGAGAGTGAAAAAGCTCTCCCGTTCACTGTTAAATGAGAGCGAACCCATATAAAGGCCAAAAATGGAACGATTTTAAGGAACTAACATTACAGTGCATTTGTTGAACATGAAGTCACAGTACAGTCACAGTCACTTTCTACAAGAAGTCACATTACACCGAGAACGCAAGGACACATATAAAAATAAAAATAAGGAGAGGTCAATCAGACACCTATTCACCACATAACAACGGACGAAGATGTAAACAACAACAGGTCAAATGAGCAAAACCCATACGATACACACAGACAAAATAAGCCTTTGCATTACAAAATGTTGAACAATTCAAAAGATAAAACCAACCGATTGCGTTATGCAATAAACGAAAAAACAAAAAAAACAAAAACTGCATACAGCAACTGTTACAGTATGCTGTTTCGAAGTGTCTCGACTGAAGTATATACCCTTTTGGAATTACCATTCACTCAATTCATTTTGACGTGACAAAAATTTATGGTTGAGGTTGGTGGTCTTCAATGTTCCTGATATTTAACCCTATATATCGTGCATTCCCCAAAATATGACAAACACGAAAGTATATTGTTTAATGGAATGGAACGGAACCATGTAGTTTTCCATGAAAACAAAACAATTCCATACGGAAGGTATTGCAATGTCCCCTGGGTTGGTACCTTTTATATCATTTAATTTATTTGAATGATGTTTGAACCTTTTCCAATGGAAGGCGGTGGGAATCACCCCTGGTGTCTCATCCTATACTTCATTTGCACTATTTTGCTATGTACAGCATTTCCAATTCTTAAGATTCTCCATATCTTTTACGGTTTTCGTGTAATTTGAAAATAATTGTCAATGTCAAAGGTCAATGTTATAGATGACAGTTGACCTTTTGGCCTTTTAGTAGTTCATAAGTTACCACGATCATTAATGCAAACCTAATGTATGTATCACTTACTGTTCTTACTAATTATCTAAACATAAAAACAATATTGAAATCATCCATTAGGGTGTCTTTATAAAAAAAAATGCTTTTTTGGGTACCCCTTGATATATGGTTGTACTTTACATACATCTAACTAGTAGTTTCCGACAACTGCTGCTAGTTCAGGTGCGAGAAAATGAAAGTAACCCAATGTACGTGACATTCGTTTGGGAGACTTGGTTACTGACTCCTGACTTGGGATGGATACAAAAAAAAGAGAAAGGTTTTAAGATGTTGTAGAACTGTAAAAATTTCCCCTACCATAAACTGTATTTTGCAAAACCTTTCGAAATATTCGGTCTTCAATGCTCTTCAACGTCGTACCTTATTTGGCTTTTTATCTTTTTTTTACTTTTTTGATACGAATGTCAATGGTGCGTCTTTTGGAAACGGTACGCGCGTCTGGCGTACACAATTTTAAGCCAGGAATCTATGATGAATGTATTTATACTTTACCACCTGATGTCATACCTGTAAGCAGATATGATTTGAGTTAAATAGAGGTGAAACTAGAAAAATAATAAAAACATAAAAATATCCCATACCGCCTCATCTATTTAAAAGCCGAGGTCTTCACATGACAATTGAACGTGAAGTAAAGTGCCATATACTGTACACTTCGAACTGGCTCAGACCTAGAATAATCAGGCTTCTTTCCTTTAATATATTTGTTTTGAATCTGAAATTATGAGAATTTAACTAAAAATCTTTCACAACGTTTATAAAAATTTTAAAATATAAACAATTGACAATTAAGGTTTGTACATATATATGTATCACACTTGGTACATTATTCCAGAGTTAATGTTTTTCTATCACACAAACCTGAATAATGCCTAATTTCTGGAAAAAAATAAATAAATTTAACCAATATAACGTGATATCAAAGAGTCAATGCAGAAGGAATAGAGACAATACAATGACCAATAGACGAAAGGGCAAACCGCAGTTCACAAAACACTACATATTAAAAAAACGAACACTATGAACTAATCGATACAAATCGGTTCTGGTTCCATAAGAATCATCCGTCGTAATGCTCATGCCAGAGTAAATCCCCTGATATGGAGAATTTGCTGACTAAATATATTTCATTTCGTTTTAAAGTAAAAACGTAGCAAGTTCACAGCATCAACAAATGATATTTGCAAATGATAATTATTGTGTTTGAAAGTGAATGGTAATATTTTCTCTTATTTTAGACATGGTGGAAAGTTACCTAATGCAGAGGCATTCAGGGCGGCTATTGCACCTTATTGTCCGACGAAAATAGCGATGTGTAAAAACAATTGTAGATATCGATCGGCAGATGGCTCATGCAACAATAGGAAACACCCAGAATGGGGAACCACGTTTTCACCACAAGCTAGATTTTTGCCACCTGATTATGGAGATCGTATGTCATATCACTTTTTTACCATGCATATTGTCTTTTGCGTATTGGTTGATTGATGATTGATTGATTGGTGTTAAACGCCACTTGCAGCACTATTGGCTATTTTGTGGCGGTCAGTTTTTATATGCGGAGGAAGCCAGAGTGCCCGGAGAGAACCATCGACCTTCAGTAGGAAAACTAACAATCCTATTCATTGGACAGGTACATGATATTTAGGGGAAATCTTGAGATGTTCCGGACTTGACAGGCACATGATCTTTACGCGGAGGTACATTAGTATTTTGATTTCCACCTTATAGTATATATTGTATTCCAGATTACAGGACAATTCTGAATTATGCCTTGCTCTTCTTTTACAGACTTTAATATTGGTATAACACCACGTTTTAAAAGTGTAACGGGCCACAGACTACCTAGTCCGAGAGAGATAAGCAATAGTGTACATGACGCTGGGATGACAGCTCCTAGGGACCATATTTATAATATCAACTTAATACATTTTGGTTTACTAGTCCTTTTTGACGTGATATCAACAACATTTCTTCAGGGTAAGACAAGATCATTTAGACATCATTTAGACATTAAAAGAGAAGTTGTGGGAAGGTCACTTTTTTGGTCCCTTGAATTCGACGATCAAATAGTATCATAAATCTACCAAATAATATCCTCTAGATGTCTCGGACATCGGTATTTATCTATTGAAATTTGTCTAACATGTTGGCCTTAGGGTTTACATTAAAGGCAAAAAAGCAAAAACTGCCTCATTTATTCACCAAAAGAGAAGGTGTGATCAAGCCACTTTTTGTGGTCTCTTGAATTCGACAATCAAAAAGTATCATAAATCTACCAAAAAATATCCGCTAGATGTTAGGACATCAGTTTTTATATTGTGTCTCACATTTTGGCAGTAGGGCTTAAATTAAGTGCAAAACAGCAAAAACGGCCAAATAATCCTCATTTTGAGTATTTGTCATCTTTATTTGGAAATGAAAAACAGCTTTACAATAAAAAGTATTTTGATAAGAAAAATGTATTCAACAAAGATGTAACTGTGTATAAAATATCTTGTTTGGTAAAGCTGTTGCACACATATCTATATTTTGTCTAAAATGCGTGAAATGACCATTTTAGGTAGAATACGTAAGTTTCGACATGTCTATGACGTCATATTGACATAAGCAGTGCAGTTTTTGCACTGAAGTGTCCAGATAATATTAACGTGTTCATTTATCAATAAATTTGACATAATTTTAGAGGCCTTGAACAAGCTTACTATGTTGCAATTTCAGTGGCAAAATAATTGCTCTAATTTTACCTCTTCCTTTTCGATTTTTTTTTACTGACAACTTATGCATTGTACAATCGGTTAACCACGTAGTAGCTAAGTTAACATATTTTCAACAAAAGATCTGTGCAGAAAACAATACCTGATTGATTCAAACTTCACCAAACCAAGATTTTCAACCAAAAGATGGTATTTTAAAAAGACCTTTACCATGTTAACCTTCAGGGATGTAAAATCAAAACCTACTGACTGCTATTGTGCATCTTCCTCATACAAATATAGTCCTGCTGGTTATGCTATCAGTTGAGAACTTGTCATCGTTTACAGTGTATACTAAACAATAAAGCTTAGAATTTTCCAGCCCATCAACAGGAAAAAGACCTTAAGGGTACTGTTTGATCCAGTATAGGACTAAACGCTAGGCAGATGAACCAAAACTGGACACTTCATCTGATTGGATCAAAACTGTTTGATCATTCATTAACTTAAAAGAGAGGCGAAAGATACAAAAAGGATGTTCAAACTCATAAGTCGAAAACAAACTGACAATGAAATGACAATAAACGAAAAAGGACGAAAAGAAAAACAGTACACAAAACACAACGTAGAAACTAAAGCCTGAGCAACACAGACCCGACCAATTACGTGTGGATTTGCATGAGGGTGATGCAAGCATATCAGGAGATGCATTGATCTTTCAGTGTTTGTGGTTTACCTTTATGTGTATTTTTTTAATTAATTTTTGAGATTTGAACATCGGTAAACTACTGTTGACTTAGTACACAAATTATTTGTAGCATTTGGATTCATCTATTTTTAGACGAAATATAGAAAAAATATATGCACAGTACAATGTATCATAAACATATTTTTGCATGATTTATACATTTTACTTTATTTTTTATTCTGAGCAGATGGTGATGAAAATATTGTATGCTGTGTCCGGGACAAGCCAGTCAAAAGGTATGAATGAAACTATAGTGTGTGATAACATTTTGTGAGGGAATTCGATGTTTGCTATACTACGGTTCATTTCAACGCAATTTATGACAATACCACTATACCAATCAGAATGATTTTTTTGCAGTGTTTTAAGAAATGATTTTACTTTGTATCCATGTATTATTTGTGAAAGATTAAATGTTTTAAAAGGGCGAATTTTTGGTATAAAGTCAATAATTATGTAGACTTTTGAAGCCCAAACTTTCTATTGCCTTAAATACGCAAATGAAAGATGCGAAAATATACTCATACAGAACGACATGTTTTTAAAATTATACAAAAACTTTTGGTTAACAAATTTTATTCGTTATTTCAAAAAACGAACTTAAAATATCTGTTATTTTCTCCCTACCCAGTTTACTCCTATTACTTATTATAATGTGGACCAGTCATTGCTATTGAATCTAATGCAATTTGATTGGATTAAATTATTATTAGTTTACCTCCAAATTGTTTATTTTTCTCATACACGTATATTGATTAAATCATACCATGCATGAATGTGTACAGTAACTTAAATGACCTTCAAACTGGACACTGGACGAGTCCATATTATTTTTATCAATAAAACTAAAGGTATGAAAGGTAAGAATTGTCAATTCTTATATTTTCACAAAATTTTCCACATATGGAGTAGATAAATTATTTCATAATCGCCTATTCCGGAGAAAAAAGAGAAATTTTACAATCCAGACGTTTTATTTCATAAAACAAGTCAGTTTTTGAAGAGAAATGCCGAAATACATTTTACGCACGGCTACGCCCGGTAAAATTATTGTCAATCTTAACAACAAAAAAATTTCACTTTCATTATAATGTTATAATTACAATTTATCCAAAACAAAAGTACTAGTAGTCAGTAAATAAAGTCAAAATATGTCCGATCTACCTATTTTTGGACATCAAAATTCAATACGATCGTTTTAAGGTCAACTTCGTCTACCTCACAAAATCTTTTTAGGCACTATAATTACCCAATGAAAACGTACATTTGAACTGCTTATCAAATCAAGAAATACATTGAAACTGTTAATCCAATCAAAATATATAAAAATGCTGATTACTTATCTCCTATTTTTGTTCTATTGCTTTGTCTACACAAAATGGATAGTTCAGATTAAGAAATAAAATGTTAAAAGGAATAAAAACAAATATTCACACAGAAAAGGAAATAACGTGATATGTATGTTTACACAGTTTTGGCGAATGGATCAAAATCATTGTCACATTAACCTATTATGTCTCTTTGGGTAGCTCATTCATTTGTCAATTTAACGGAATTATAAACAAATGTCATACAAGTGAAAGGTTAAGCTAACTATAAAACCAAGTTTAACCCACCATTTTCTTCGGAAAATGTATGTACCAAGTCAGGAATATGACAGTTGTTTTACACTTGTTCCACTGATCGATAGCGTTTGATTGTGTCATTTTTTATGTACTATCCCTTTTTAAATTTTGCCTTGGAGTTCGGTATTTTTGTTTTACTTTTTTTATATAAAGATTCATTTTCTGATATAGTCCATGATACAATTTCAATTAAAGGAATGTTTTCACGAAAAACATTCCATAACTCTTAATAAAACTATAACGTTAAAATTTATGAATATCCTTTTATTGTAATCTTAGCTACTTGTTTTCAAGTAAGATATCACAAATACTCATTCAATCGAGCTTAATAAAATTACGGTAGACCATACGTTGACCAGTTGTTGTTTAATCGAATCATTTCGTCTATGGTGGAAAGTTGTCTTATTGTCAATCATACCACATCTTCTTTCTTGTATACTGTCAAATATTAACAGACATTATAAACTCGTTTAAGGTTTTCATTGGTAGATAATGCAAAATACTACTTCAGGAGACGTAAAATCAAAATGTGTATTTCAGGGTATTTTTTTTAACACATTGTTTATTTGTCTATGGTGGAAAGTAGCCTCATTGTCAATCGTCTCTTTTCTTGTATACTGTCAAATTTAACAGAATTATAAACTCGTTTTAGGTTATCATTGGTAGATACTGCAAAATCCTAATTCAGGAGACGTAAAATCTAAAAATGTATTTTATTGTAATTTTTTTTAACACATTGTTAATTTGTCCATGGTTGATAGATGTTTCATTATCAATAATACCACATCTTCTTTATTGTATACTGTCAAATATTTACAGAATTATAAACTCGTTTAAGCTTATCATTGGTTGAATAGGCAAAATACTATTTTAGGAGACGTCAAATCAATATATTTTTTCAGCGGATTTTTTAACACATTGTTTCGTTCATATGTTCTTTTGCTTTGTTCTTAGTATAATGTGGTTTGTGGCTGTGTTTGACATTGTTTGGGTAGACTTTTAAATCACATATGGTGAAGGATCTGCTTTCCAGATGCGGTTCGTGTTCCTAATTGCTTAGTTGACTGTTTTTTTGTCTTTTCGTCCTTTTGTTCGTTTGTCCATTGCGTATTCGGTATCTCCTATTTTTGACATTTTTACCTATTATGTCTGTTTATTTTGTTCACACGTTGTTGTCAATATAATGGAATTTTATGCGACTGTCATACAAGTCAGAGGTTTAGCTAGCTATAAAACCAGGTTCAATCCATCATTTTCTAGATCAGAAAATGCCAGTTCCAAGTCAGGAATATGACAGTTGTTATTCATTCGTTTGATGTGTATGAGCTTTTGATTTTGCCATTTGATTAGGGACTTTCCGTTTTGAATTTTCTTCGGAATTCGGTATTTTTGTTATTTTTCCTATGTGAGTTTGGATTGTCCCCTTGGTATCTGTTGCTTCTTTTGTAATAATAAAACTCTCCAGAAGAACTTCAATAAAATAAAATGTATATAAAAAATATTAGACAAATAAACTCATTATAGATATCAGGAATAACATTTTGTTCTCCAGACGCGCGTTTTGTCTTTAAAAGAGTTACTCTCAAATCAAAAAGGTTAAGAAGGCCAAATATAGCACGAAGCAATGATGACCCAAAATTCAGAAAGGTTTTCCCCAAAAAAGCTAAGGTAATCGTTTCCTCAGGTATACAAATCCTAAGTATCTCTAAAATTTCAAATATAATTCATAATTATGACAATACCAATGATAATTCATGTCAACAACAGAAGTACTGACCACCGTCCCGAAAATAAAAGCTGACTTAAACCAACTTGTCAATAACAATGTATATAATTATGATTTGAGATGCAAACTTATGAACAAATTCAATAATAACATAAATTCATAACTATAACGCGTACATTTATTAGTTCGAATCCTTGACTTCTGGCAAACATTGTGAAATATAATTCATGCAATTGAAAAAAAAATATGAAAACAAATAACTAATGAAATTATATATGAGAGTTTTAAATATTGCGAACCTGTCGCATTTTGGGCATTGATAAAAGCATCGCAATAATTACTGAATTTACAGTATACTTTCTCAAGATTCATTATCTTTTTTAGACCAGCATGTTTTCCGTTCTTCACACTGCCGGGCGAATTCAGTCATACATGTCGGAGTTTTGTGCGATCAGAAATGGCTCCATCACCAGGATGTTTACCAGGTATTATTTTCTTTATATTAGTTTCAAAAACATCGATGATTTGCTTCGATAGGTTTTATGCTAATGCCAATGGCCGATAAGTGTGCTAGTGACAAACCACCAGTTTAAAAAAAGAGCAATCCGCTCATCATGTTTGAATGATTCAGCACTCACATGAATCAAAATATATTGTAATGTAAATTGCCGATGCTAATTCTACAAGCACATTTTTCTCTATTGTCTCCCTGTTTGGGTCAATATTCACCCCCTTTATATCCAACAAAATTAATATGAAATTTCAATTAACCCAAAAATTCATATTCTATTGCTCTAATGTTTAACGATGGCTTGAAGATTTTCAAGATGAACTTAACAACTTACACTTAACCTACACATGTCAACATAATAAAGATCAAAGCTTCTTTTTATAAAACAGGTCCGAGGAATCAGATAAATCTGAAGACATCTTATTTAGACTTGTCATTGATCTATGGTAATTCTAAAGAGGGAGAACAGAGATTTAGACAGTTTGGTTCAGGTAAGACTTGTCATTAATCTATGGTAATTCTATAGAGGGAGAACAGAGATTTGAACAGTTTGTTTCAGGTAAGACTTGTCATTGATTTATGGTACTTCTATAGAGGGAGAACAGAGATTTAGACAGTTTGATTCAGGTAAGACTTGTCATTAATCTATGGTAATTCTATAGAGGGAGAACAGAGATTTGGACAGTTTGGTTCAGGTAAGACTTGTCATTAATCTATGGTAATTCTATAGAGGGAGAACAGAGATTTAGACAGTTTGGTTCACGTAAGACTTGTCATTGATCTATGGTAATTCTAAAGAGGGAGAACAGAGATTTAGACAGTTTGGTTCAGGTAAGACTTGTCATTGATCTATGGTAATTCTATAGAGGGAGAACAGAGATTTAGACAGTTTGGTTCAGGTAAGACTTGTCATTTATCTATGGTAATTATATAGAGGGAGAACAGAGATTTAGACAGTTTGGTTCTGGTAAGACTTGTCATTAATCTATGGTAATTCTATAGAGGGAGAACAGAAATTTGGACAGTTTGGTTCAGGTAAGACTCGTCATTAATCTATGGTAATTCTATAGAGGGAGAACAGAGATTTGAACAGTTTGGTTCACGTAAGACTTGTCATTGATCTATGGTAATTCTATAGAGGGAAAACAGAGATTTAGACAGTTTGGTTCAGGTAAGACTTGTCATTGATCTATGGTAATTCTATAGAGGGAGAACAGAGATTTAGACAGTTTGGTTCTGGTAAGAATTGTCATTAATCTATGGTAATTCTATAGAGGGAGAACAGAGATTTGGACAGTTTGGTTCAGGTAAGACTTGTCATTGATCTATGGTAATTCTATAGAGGGAGAACAGAGATTTAGATAGTTTGGTTCAAGTCAGACTTGTCATTGATTTATGGTAATTCTATAGAGGGAGAACAGAGATTTAGACAGTTTGGTTCAGGTAAGACTTGTTATTGATCTATTGTAATTCTATAGAGGGAGAACAGAGATTTAGACAGTTTGGTTCAGGTAAGACTTGTGATTAATTTATGTTAATTCTATAAAGGGAGAACAGAGATTTATACAGTTTGGTTCGGTAAGACTTGTCATTGATCTATGGTAATTCTATAGAGGGAGAACAGAGATTTAGACAGTTTGATTCAGGTAAGACTTGTCATTGATCTTTGGTAATTCTATAGAGGTAGAACAGAGATTTAGACAGTTTGGTTCTGGTAAGACTTGTCATTAATCTATGGTAATTCTATAGAGGGAGAACAGAGATTTAGACAGTTTGGTTCAGGTAAGACTTGTCATTGATCTATGTTAATTCTAAAGAGGGAGAACAGAGATTTAGACAGTTTGGTTCAGGTAAGACTTGTCATTGATCTATGATAATTCTATAGAGGTAGAACAGAGATTTAGACAGTTTGGTTCTGGTAAGACTTTTCATTAATCTATGGTAATTCTATAGAGGGAGAACAGAGATTTAGACAGTTTGATTCAGGTAAGACTTGACATTGATCTATGGTAATTCTATAGAGGTAGAACAGAGATTTAGACAGTTTGGTTCTGGTAAGACTTGTCATTAATCTATGGTAATTCTATAGAGGGAGAACAGAGATTTAGACAGTTTGGTTCAGGTAAGACTTGTCATTAATTTATGTTAATTCTATAGAGGGAGAACAGAGATTTAGACAGTTTGTTTCAGGTAAGACCTGTCATTAATCTATGGTAATTCTATAGAGGTAGAACAGAGATTTACACAGTTTGGTTCGGTAAGACTTGTCATTGATCTATGGTAATTCTATAGAGGGAGAACAGACATTTAGACACTTTGGTTCAATAAGACTTGTCATTGATCTATGGTAATTCTATAGAGGTAGAACAGAGATTTAGACAGTTTGGTTCTGGTAAGACTTGTCATTAATCTATGGTAATTCTATAGAGGGAGAACAGAGATTTGGACAGTTTGGTTCAGGTAAGACTTGTCATTGATCTATGTTAATTCTATAGAGGGAGAACAGAGATTTAGACAGTTTGGTTCAGGTAGGACTTGTCATTGATCTATGGTGATTCTATAGAGGGAGAACAGAGATTTACACAGTTTGGTTCAGGTAAGACTTGTCATTGATCTATGGTAATTATATAGAGGTAGAACAGAGATTTTGACAGTTTGATTCAGGTAAGACTTGTCATTGATCTATGGTGATTCTATAGAGGGAGAACAGAGATTTAGACAGTTTGGTTCAGGTAAGACTTGTCATTAATCTATGGTAATTCTATAGAGGGAGAACAGAGATTTAGACAGTTTGGTTCAGGTAAGACTTGTCATTAATTTATGTTAATTCTATAGAGGGAGAATAGAGATTTAGACAGTTTGGTTCAGGTAAGACTTGTCATTAATCTATGATAATTCTATAGAGGTAGAACAGAGATTTACACAGTTTGGTTCGGTAAGACTTGTCATTGATCTATGGTATTTCTATAGAGGGAGAACAGAGATTTAGACACTTTGGTTCGGTAAGACTTGTCATTGATCTATGGTAATTCTATAGAGGTAGAACAGAGATTTAGACAGTTTGGTTCTGGTAAGACTTGTCATTAATCTATGGTAATTCTATAGAGGGAGAACAGAGATTTGGACAGTTTGGTTCAGGTAAGACTTGTCATTGATCTATGGTAATTCTATAGAGGGAAAACAGAGATTTAGACAGTTTGGTTCAGGTAAGACTTGTCATTTATCTATGGTAATTCTATAGAGGGAGAACAGAGATTTGGACAGTTTGGTTCAGGTAAGACTTGTCATTGATCTATGGTGATTCTATAGAGGGAGAACAGAGATTTACACAGTTTGGTTCAGGTAAGACTTGTCATTGATCTATGGTAATTATATAGAGGTAGAACAGAGATTTGGACAGTTTGATTCAGGTAAGACTTGTCATTGATCTATGGTGATTCTATAGAGGGAGAACAGAGATTTAGACAGTTTGGTTCAGGTAAGACTTGTCATTAATCTATGGTAATTATATAGAAGGAGAACAGAGATTTAGACAGTTTTGTTCAGGTAAGACTATATCGAAACTCCGTACTAGAAGAACAAAGATTTAGAAAGCTTGGTTCAGGTCAGACTATATTGAAACGTCATGCTAGGAGAACAAAGATTTAGACAGTTTGGTTCTGGTAAGACTTATCATTAATCTATGGTAATTCTATTCAGGGGAACAGAGATTTAGACAGTTTAGTTCAGGTAAGACTATATTGATTAAGATTATAACACAATGTTGACTGCTGTACCCCTATTTTTGACATTTTTACCTATTATGTCTGTTTATTTTGTTCACACATTGTTGTCAATATAATGGAATTTTATGCGACTGTCATACAAGTCAGAGGTTTAGCTAGCTTTAAAACCAGGTTCAATCCACCATTTTCTACATCAGAAAATGCCTGTACCATGTCAGGAATATGACAGTTGTTATCCATTCGTTTGATGTGTTTGAGCTTTTGATTTTGCCATTTGATTAGGGACTTTCCGTTTTGAATTTTCCTCGGAGTTCGGTATTTTTGTTATTTTACTTTTTGAAACTCCGTACTAGGAGAACAAAGATTTAGAAAGTTTGGTTCAGGTAGGACTATATTGAAACTCCATGCTGGGACAACAAAGAGTTAGAAAGTTTGGTTGAGGTATGACTATATTGAGACTCTATATTTTGGGGAACAAAGATTTAGAAAATTTGGTTCAGCAAGGACTATATTGAAACTCCATGCTAGGAAAACAAAGATGTATACAGTTTGGTTCTGGTACGACTATATTTAAACTCCATGCTAAAACAACAAATATTTAGAAAGTTTGATTCAGGTAGAACTATATTGAAACTCCATGCAAGGTGAACAAAGATTTAGAAAGTTTGGTTCAGGAAGGACTATTTTGAAACCTCATGCTATCAGAACAAATATTTAGAAAGTGTGGTTCAGGTAGGACTATATTGAAACTCCATGCTAGCAGAACAAAGATTTAGAAAGTTTTGTTTAGATAGGACTATATTGAAACCCCATGCTTGGATAACAAAGATATAGAAAGTTTGGTTCCGGTAGGACTATATTGAAACTCCATGCTAGGAGAACAAAGATTTACAAAGTTTGGTTCAGAATGGACTGTATTGAAACTCCATGCTAGGAGATCAAAGATTTAGAAAGTTTGGTTCAGGTAGGACTATATTGAAACTCCATGCTAGGAGATCAAAGATTTAGAAAGTTTGGTTCAGGTAGGACTATATTGAAACTCCATGCTAGGAGAACAAAAATTTCGAATGTTTGGTTCAGATAGGACTATATTGAAACTTCATGCTGTATGACCTAACACAGTGTAAGTCACGATCTCTCTGTTATGAATATGAGCATACAAACATACATATTACGGCATCATAAATTAAAAAATACCAAACTCCAAGGAAAACTCAGTCTAGGTGGTTGCATGGCCTAGAGCGCTGGACACAGTGCAGGCGGTATTGTCACGGTATCCCAATAGCATGAGTTCGAATCCCGGCGAGGAAAGATCAAAAATTTCCTTCCGCAAATTTGCAGATTTAACATTGTTGTTTGTGCTGAAATTTAGAGTAATTATGAATATAATATGTGTTTTCAGCCGTGTATCACCTTCACTGGTGATCCAATGGATGGATCTGTCGTAGAGTTGTCACTTGTTTAGACGTACTTCTAAAATAATTACTTTTGTGACTGCATCTTACGATCCTTTACGACAGATAATTTAGCTAATCTGCAATAAATTCCATCTTCATGCCTAATGTATCATGTAGTGTTACAACTCTAGATTATACTGACGAGGAAAGGTAACACTAGGCCACCGAAAGCTGGATTATTATTCAGTCTAGGTAGTCGAGTGGTCTAGAGCACTGGACACAGTGCAGGCGATATTGTCACGATATCCCAGTAGCATGAGTTACCAAATGTTGTTTGTTCTGTATCACGCTCGATAAAGATAGTTTGTCTAGCGGAATATAGCGTTTATCTTTTATCGCTTTGTAAATATTTTTAACATTTTAATATTTAAATACTAAATAGTGTGTTAAAATTATAGTGTTAGGCAATTTATATATATGTATATATACTGTTTAAGTTTATATGCGTTTATATGTATTTTTAGGTCATCCAGACACTTTTGATTCATTTATAAGCCTATTTCACGTTATCTTTTTACGAGAAAACGACAAAATCTTAAGAGATTTAAAACATCTTGGATGGAATGGTGACAGTCTCTACAGAGAGGCACGGAAAATTCTTTCTGCTATCTACCAACATATTGTGTACACAGCATATGTGCCAGCAGTTATAGGACAGGATGCTATGATGAGATATGGCTTAAAAAGCACACGGTATGGGCATAACACTATGTACAATCCAACACGTGATGCTACAACAAGCAATGTTTTTGCAACTGCCGCTATCCGATTTGGTCACTCTACTTTTGATACGTTTGAAAACGATGTAATCCAAGGATTTTCTCCTGATACTTTTCAGAATTACAGTAATATTGTAACTAACTCTCCGTCATCCTATACACTTTTTACACGATTTCAAAGCAAGACTGATCGATTTATGACTGATTTTGGACGAAACAAGGTTTGGGAATCTGAACCTAGGAACAGTGTTGACACAATGTCATTTGATATCCAAAGAGGAAGAGATCATGGACTACCGTCCTACAATAGATGGAGGAAGTATTGCGGATTAAGACCAATACTTCATTTTGGAAAAGGCATTATGGGATTTGCTGACCATACTTTGGGAGCTATCAAAGCTCTTGCTTCTGTATATAGGTATGTGATTCTATATGAAATAATACTTTAATTAATTTTGTGCGTCCGGGAGATACCGATACTCTTTCTTTCGTATATAGGTAAGTGATTCTAATACTGATGCATCTTTTGAAGACGCGCGTCAGGCAACCAAATTTTAAGCCTGGTTTCTATGATAAGATTACTTTAATTGATATCGTGCATCCGATGCCCCTTTCTGGATTTACTTCAATCATAAACGTTCAAACCCAAACATTTTCAAATCCGGTAATATATAAGACCTACACACGTGATCTCTGAACATGCCGAAGGGGCCCCAAAAAAAGTAACCGAATAAAGTGCAAATCAGGATTCGGCAATGAAATGATTTATTACATACATTTCTTAGATTATCCGTTTATAAAATATTGGATTGAAAGTAACAAAATGGACATTAAACGTATTGAACCAGATGTAGAATTTACAAAAGAAACCCGGATGATATGAATATAGTTCCCAGTTCTATACCAGAAAAAGTTGTACCTGGATCCATTTTATGGACCTTCATTTGTATACAAATCAATTAGTCTTTTGTTATTTTAGACATCCAGATGATATAGATCTCATTTCTGGTGCGATGGCAGAAAGACCTGTTTCAGGAGGAATTGTTGGACCCACATTTGCATGTTTACTTGGCCAGCAGTTTGCTTTATTCAAAACTGGAGATAGGTTCTATTATGAAAATGATTTTTATCCAACAGGATTTACAACAGGTTTGTACCAATTTGATATTAAAGCCATTTGTATACACTCTGCTTATCGCAAGTTCGTGCATTACCCAGGAAAAAACGATAAGTGGATTACAATAGGATAATATTTCCACAATAATTAAAAAAATAATATATTTTGTGTTTATTTCAAATATTTTTATCATGCAGATTGTATTCCGTAAACAATTTAACAAACCAATTTGTATTCTCTTCTGATAAATAAAGGGAAGAGTAGTATACCGCTGTTCAATAGTCAAAAATGTTCAATGTTCAATAGTCATAAATGTTCAATGTTCAATAGTCATAAATGTTTAATGTTCAATAGTCATAAATGTTCAATGTTCAATAGTCATAAATGTTCAATGTTCAATAGTCATAAATGTTTAATGGTCAATAGTCATAAATGTTCAATGTTCAATAGTCATAAATGTTCAATGTTCAATAGTCATAAATGTTCAATGTTCAATAGTCATAAATGTGATAAGTGAATAGATACAAAATACATCTAAGATGTCATCATGTTTCTCATCATGAGCATGAAATATTATGGATTGCGTTGTATGTAAAGCAAAGGTCTAACATTTTCAGACGGATTTGTTTAAATGAAATGTTGTTCGCTATAAGAATTAGAAGCTGGAGTATGATTGCAAATGAGACAACTCTACACTGCATGTCTCTCAGACTCTACACTGCATGTCTCTCAGACTCTACACTGCATTTCTCTCAGACTGTACACTGCCTGTCTCTCAGACTGTACACTGCCTGTCTCTCAGACTGTACACTGCCTGTCTCTCGACTGTACACTGCATGTATATCAGACTCTACACTGCGTGTCTCTCAGACTCTACACTGCGTGTCTCTCATACTCTACACTGCATGTCTCTCAGACTCTACACTGCATGTCTCTCAGACTCTACACTGCATGTCTCTCAGACTCTACACTGCATGTCCCTCAGACTCTACACTGCATGTCTCTCAGACTCTACACTGCATGTCCCTCAGACTCTACACTGCATGTCTCTCAGACTCTCGCTGCATGTCCCTCAGACTCTACACTGCATGTCTCTCAGACTCTACACTGCATGTCCCTCAGACTCTACACTGCATGTCTCTCAGACTCTACACTGCATGTCCCTCAGACTCTACACTGCATGTCCCTCAGACTCTACACTGCATGTCTCTCAGACTCTACACTGCATGTCTCTCAGACTCTACACTGCATGTCTCTCAGACTCTACACTGCATGTCTCTCAGACTCTACACTGCATGTCCCTCAGACTCTACACTGCATGTCTCTCAGACTCTACACTGCATGTCCCTCAGACTCTACACTGCATGTCTCTCAGACTCTACACTGCATGTCCCTCAGACTCTACACTGCATGTCTCTCAGACTCTACACTGCATGTCTCTCAGACTCTACACTGCATGTCTCTCAGACTCTACACTGCCTGTCTCTCAAGCTCTACACTGCATGTCCCTCAGACTCTACACTGCATGTCTCTCAGACTCTACACTGCATGTCTCTCAGACTCTACACTGCATGTCTCTCAGACTCTACACTGCATGTCTCTCAGACTCTACACTGCAGTTGATATGAAAACTCATCAAAGATATGATATCTGACTTCAAGAAAGTACAAGAATACTGTGGATTCATTATTTTTCGTTGGATACCAATTTTCGTGGAATTCGTGGGTACATGGAAACCACGAATTTAAATGTTCAACGAATTGCAAATTTGCTGTATGATTAAATGGAGAATTTTGGAAAACCACGAAAATTGGTACCCACGAAAATAAATAAATCCACAGTAATAGAAAATGATATCAGTGTGTTTAAAGACAAGATCTGGTATTGACATACCTGTACGTTAAGGATCATTGCATATGAAGACAAGATTAGATACTGGAATGACATTCAGTTGAAGACCACTGTGTATCAAGACAATGCCTCATGCTGCAATGTCACATATCACGGTTTTAAAACACAATCCCCTTCACTTCAATGATGTACATGAACAGTGGTGATTATTGACAATATGTGGATCTGCCCGTCTCTCGGTTAAGGATCACCGTATTTCTAGAAAACGTTTGATACTGAAATGTCTTTCAGTATAGGAACACTGTGTGTTTGAAGACAAGTTTGAGGATAAGATATAATATGATAGCTAATGAGATAATTATCCAACATTCCAAACGAAGTGTAAGTAAGTATAGGTCACAGTTAGGCCTTCAAAAATGAGCAAAGCGCAAACTGTCCAGTCAGCTTTAAAAGGCACCGACATTACAAAATGTACACAAATTCAAACAAGAACAGGAACATAAACGGCTGATTTAGACGAAACAATTAACGAAAAACAAATATGATAGACATGGAATTTTACAATGTCTTGAGTGAGGAAAAGAAAGAGAGGTTTGAAGCTACTATATTATAGAACATATTAGTTGGTCATTTGATACACAGGTATTCCTAAAGGGTAAATCAAGTCATGACGGTTCCACGAGAAAAATATCAACTTTGGGGATTCGATATTATAAAAAATTTAATTCATTCTAATTTGAAAGTTAACCCTTTTTTAGGTCAATTACGTGAAATCAAGAAGCAAAGTTTATCATCTGTGATGTGTCGTCATGTCAACGTACCTGCTGTTCCGCAGAATGCTTTCATATCTCCAAAATCAGGGTAGGTATAGATAAAATAGGTCTTGGGTGAACTTTTGTTTCCAGAGAGTTTTATTATATCTCCAAAAGATGGATAGATACAGATAAAAATTGATCTCGGGTGAACTATCATTCCCCGAGCGTTCTATTACATCTGATCCCACCTAACACTGGGGGTAATAGATCATAGAAAACTAAAGACTGCTCAAACCTAATCCCACCTAACACTAGGGGTACTAGATCATAAAAAACTAAAGACTGCTCAAACCTAATCCCACCTATCACTGGGGGTACTAGATCATAGAAAACTAAAGACTGCTCTAACCTAATCTCACCTAACACTGGGGGTACTAGATCATAGAAAACTAAAGACTGCTCTAACCTAATCCCACCTAACACTGGGGGTACTAGATCATAGAAAACTAAAGACTGCTCTAACCTAATCCCACCTACCACTGGGGGTACTAGATCATAGAAAACTAAAGACTGCTCTAACCTTATCCAATCTAACACTGGGGGTACTAGATCATAGAAAACTAAAGACTGCTCAAACCTAATCCCACCTTACACTTGGGGTACTATATCATAGAAAACAAAACACTGCTCAAACCTTATCCCACCTAACACTGGGGGTACTAGACTATAGAAAACTAAAGACTGCTCAAACCTAATCCCACCTGACACTGGGGGTATTAGATCATAGAAAAGTAAAGACTGCTCAAACCTAATCCCACCTAACACTGGGGGTACTAGATTATAGAAAACTAAAGACTGCTCACACCTGATCCCACCTAACACTGGGGGTACTAGATTATAGAAAACTAAAGACTGTTCTAACCTAATCTCACCTAACACTGGGGGTATTAGATCATAGAAATAAAAAGACTGTTCAAACTTAATCCCACCTAACACTGGGGGTACTAGATCATAGAAAACTAAAGACTGCTCAAACCTAATCCCACCTTACACTGGGGGTAGTAAATCATAGAAAAATAAAGACTGCTCTAACCTAATCCCACCTAACACTGGGGTACTAGATCATAGAACACTAAAGACTGCTCTAACCTAATCCCACCTAACACTGGAGGTACTTAATCATAGAAAACTAAAGACTGCTCTAACCTACTCCCACCTACCACTGGGGGTACTAGATCATAGAAATCTAAAGACTGCTCTAACCTTATCCAATCTAACACTGGGGGTACTAGATCATAGAAAACTAAAGACTGCTCAAACAGTAATCCCACCTTACACTTGGGGTACTATATCATAGAAAACAAAAGACTGCTCAAACCTAATCCCACCTAACACTGGGGGTACTAGACTATAGAAAACTAAAGACTGCTCAAACCTAATCCCACCTGACACCGGGGGTATTAGATCATAGAAAAGTAAAGACTGCTCAAACCTAATCCCACCTAACATTGGGGGTACTAGATCATAGAAAACTAAAGACTGCTCACACCTGATCCCACCTAACACTGGGGTTACTAGATTATAGAAAACTAAAGACTGCTCTAACCTAATCTCACCTAACACTGGGGGTATTAGATCATAGAAAACTAAAGACTGCTCAAACCTTATTCCACCTAACACTGGGGGTACTAGATAATAGAAAACTAAAGATTGCTCTAACCTAATCTCACCTAACACTGGGGGTACTAGATCATAGAAAACAAAAGACTGCTCTAACCTAATACCACCTAACACTGGGGGTACTCGATCATAGAAAACTAAAGACGGCTCAAACCTAATCCCACCTAACACTAGGGGTACTAGATCATAGAAAACTAAAGACTGCTCAAACCTAATCCCACCTAACACTTGGGGTACTAGATCATAGAAAACTAAAGACTGCTCAAACCTTATCCCACCTAACACTAGGGGTACTAGATCATAGAAAACGAAAGACTGCTCTAACCTAATCCCATCTAACACTGGGGATACTAAATCATAGAAAACGAAAGACTGCTCAAACCTAATCCCACCTAACACTGGGGGTACTAGATCATAGAAAACTAAAGACTGCTCTAACCTAATCCTACCTTACACTGGGGGTACTAGATTATAGAAAACTAAAGACGGCTCAAACCTAATCCCACCTAACACTAGGGGTACTAGATCATAATACTAAAGACTGCTCAAACCTTATCCCACCTAACACTAGGGGTACTAGATCATAGAAAACTAAAGACTGCTCAAACCTAATCCCACCTAACACTTGGGGTACTAGATCATAGAAAACTAAAGACTGCTCAAACCTAATTCCACCTAACACTGGGGGTACTAGATAATAGAAAACTAAAGATTGCTCTAACCTAATCTCACCTAACACTGGGGGTACTAGATCATAGAAAACTAAAGACTGCTCTAACCTTATTCCACCTAACACTGGGGGTACTAGATCATAGAAAACTAAAGATTGCTCTAACCTAATCTCACCTAACACTGGGGGTACTAGATCATAGAAAACTAAAGACTGCTCTAACCTAATACCACCTAACACTGGGGGTACTCGATCATAGAAAACTAAAGACTGCTCCAACCTAATCCCACCTAACACTCGGGGTACTAGATCATAGAAAACTAAAGACTGCTCAAACCTAATCCCACCTAACACTGGGGGTACTAGATCATAGAAAACTAAAGACTGCTCAAACCTAATCCCACCTAATACTGGGGGTACTAGATCATAGAAAACTAAAGACTGCTCAAACCTAATCACACTTAACACTGGGGGTACTATATCATTGAAAACTAAAGACTGCTCAAACCTAATCCCATCTAACACTGGGGGTACTAGATCATAGAAAAAAAAAGATTTGCTCAAA